ACATGTTGGTCCGGATATTCAACTGGATATGGAAACACGAGTACGCGCCAAAGAGATGGAGAGAAGGAGTAGTCGTGAACCTGTTCAAAAAGGGAGATAAAACTGACCCGGGGAATTATAGAGGGATAACCTTGCTGAGCACAGTGGGGAAACTCTTTGGCAAGATGATAACAATAGAATGGGAGACATGTTGGAGGGGAAACAAAAGATCAGCGAAGGACAAGCTGGATTTAGACCAGATCGTAGTTGTGTAGACCATGTATATACGTTGAGTAAAATTATCCAAGGTAGGAAAGACGCCGGGCGTACGACATACTGTTTCTTCCTAGATGTACAAAAAGCCTACGACACCATTTGGCGCAATTGATTGTGGAAAAAGATGTGGGAGATAGGGATCCGGGGAAAAATGTGGAGGATGTTGAAAAATATGACAGAATGCACAAGAAGTGCAGTGATGTTGGATGGGGAAATCTCGAAGTACGTGGATATACTCCAAGGAGTCGCACAGGGCTGTACGATGTCACCCACTCTTTTCAAGATTTACATCAACGACTTGATAAGGGCGGTTGAAGCAGTAAGACAGGGAGTCCAAGTAGGGGGAAAGAGTGTGTCCGGACTGATGTTTGCAGATGATTTCGTGGGGGTGTCTGAAACACCAGAAGGGTTGTAGGAACAAATAGATGCGGCAGTAGGATACACCCGAAAATGGAGACTGTCGGCGAACGTAGGAAAATGCGCAGTAGTGGTCTGTAACGAAGACAAGAAAAATCCCGTAGAATTCAAATGGAAATGGGGGGAGGAAGAACTACCGGTAGTAGACAGGTATACGTACCTGGGAGTAGAGATTTCGAAGGAGTGCTCATGGGACGCACACATAGCAAAGTTGATTGGGAAGGGTAAAGCTCAGATAGGCAAGATGGACGAGATCCTTACGGACCCACACCTAGACACTAGGATTAAGAGGTGTGTTCTCTTGAATGTGATTGTACCTAAGCTAGAGTATGCAGGAGAGGTATGGGAAGGTAACGAAAAGGCCGTCAAGCAGCTGGAAACGGTGCAGATGGCAGCGGCCAAGAAAATACTAGGATGTTCAAGTACAACGAGCAACACTGTATTGAGAGCAGAACTGGGAATGTACTCTCTTAAAACAAAGAGAGACATGCAAAAGTTGAATTGGCAGTACAAGGTAAGTAGAATGTCGGACGATAGACTACCAGCCATGGTTGACAAGGCAGCTTGGGGAAAAGCGACTCCAGGGAAGAAAGGAATCAGATGGGACAAGGTGGTAGAGAGGGTTTGGAAGGAGATAGGAGACGAGGAGGAGACATTGGACACGGAAGGGTTCGGGGGGTTCAAGAAGAAAGTCAAGGAGATGCTAGAAAGTAGGGAGGAGGCAACCCTTCGGAAGAAGGTACGAAGCGAAGACCACTTGGAGATATACGGGAAGTTGAAAGAAGGGATAGGGATGAAGAGTTACTTGGACGGCCCCATGGACTACGCAAAAAAACTGAAGTTGCAATTTCGAGTAGGCGATCTGGACTTGCCAGAACGGAGGAAGAGGTACAGCAGCCGTAGGAGAGAGGAAGAGGAGGATAGACAGACATGTCCATGTGGCAAATCGGAGGAGAGTAGACCCCACATAGTTGGGGAGTGTGAGCTGTACAGGAAGGAAAGAGAGGATCTCGAGGAGGACATGAGACAGAGAGGGTGTGACATGGACAAGTTTGGTAAATTAGACAACAGCGAAAAAACGATCGCGGTAATTGGGGATAGATGGTGGGCACAAGAGGCCGTAGAGGACGGGGATAAGATGTGCAAGGAATTTTTATGTAGTTTGTGGCAGAAACGTAAAGAGCTCCCAAATGTTGGTGGTGTCTCTAGTAGGGGTAGGAACGGTGCTCCGTCTCGAAAGGGACGCGTGGTCAATGGTCAAATGACTACGGCAAGCAACAAATGAGTACGCCCCCCCCCCCCTCAATCCCCCTGTTGCGCGTGCCGCTCGAATCGTTCTCTCTCACCGCCACAACCGCCCCCCTGGTCTCTGCGGCAAGTGGTTCCCTCCGCGATATCATCGCCTCCCGCCGGTGCTACCAGCTCCTTGTGCTGTCGTCGAGTGGAACCATTGCCGCGCGGTACTGAGGGTGCCAGCCTATCGCCTTTGGCAGCAGCGCCCGCGGCGGCGAAGGTGGCGACGGGCTGGCAAGCATTGCCATCGTCGTCTTTGAGCTTGGCGGGAGCTTGCGGCGTGGGGAGAAGGATGACGGCCGCGCCCGCTCTTTGCAGGCTCGAGGCGGCCGTTGCCACTATCCTGGAAGGGTCCTACGGCGGCAGCAGCAAACAATAAGGGAAATCACGACGACATGGAGAGGACACAGGTAAGTTGGCGACTGAAAACACCGATGGGGGACGCGCGGACGGACAAAAGGAAGGGGATGAGCAAACGGAGAGTCTGTCGGAGTCTCTCAACTGGAGCAGGGCGAGAGGTAGAGGCTATCGGAAGCATCTCAATCGGAGCAGGGGGAAGGCGGAGGCTGTTGGAAGCATCTCAACACAGCAATGAAAGACCACAAAAATAAAAACACACACGAAAACACGAACCCCAGCAGCCTCGGCCCCCCCAGGGCCCTCCTCCGCGGCACCTCCGTCGAGGGCGATTGTACATTCGATAGCGAACGCGATTGCTTGCCGGTCGCGGAATGGTTTGCGGTTATGCGGGGCTGCTGGGCATAGGGTGGGGTGTGGGGGGACAAGTTGGGTGGCAAAACGTATTTCACGTGCGTCGAGAACAACTGCTGACGCCGCCAATGGTACAGAAACTCGCACGCACGCGGGAAAACAATGACACACGCAGCGATAGACATCGCGTGTGAAGTCGCAAGGAACAATCGCGCTCAAGAAATCCATCGCACACCCAAATGCCACACCGACAAAGCAAACAAGTGCCAAGTACAAAGGGCGGACTGGACAAGACCAGACTCGATGCATGGAAGGCACCTGAACGAGACCGAGAGCCGGCATTGATCCCAGGCCAACGACGAAGACGGGCTTGTTGTCCGCCTCGCACCTCGCAAGGAATCGGACCAGTCGATCCGGGGGTCGGTAGCGCGGTGAGAGTCTCGGGAAGGACCAGAAGCCGCACACGTCCGCCTACATCGCATGTGTGTGTAGCACAACGTGCGGAGACAGGAACAGAGCGAAAGACGAGAGGGGCGACAGAGAGCGAAACGAACGAACACGTTGTTCAATGTTCACACAGCGAAAAGGAAAATATCGGCGCCATGAAACCAGAGCTCGCGCTTGCCCGGCATCCTGCGCGTGCAAAAACCGGAGAAAAAACACAGGGGCAGAGCGTGAACGGGCTTGCGTGTATACATGTGCAGACAACGGTACGTTGTTGGCTAAACGAGTGAGGTATTCGCAAGCGCACCACGCGCGCGCCACTCTCTGCAGCCCGAAATACACGAGTGTGTTTGCCCTTCTTATCCACGCGACTGTGAGAAACACTCCTGTTGTTTGTTGTGCGGCATACGGGTCTGGTTCAGGGCCGCATGCTGTCTGCCATGGCTACAAACTAGAGAAGGGTCGCAGCAATCGCGAACAGTTCGAGCGCAGGAGAAGCAAGTACTCACAACACCTGTGGAGTTGTAGACAGGTAATTAGCAGCACCCGACCCTTCACATGTATGGAGCATCTCCATCCAGCTCACCTGTGCCGGCCAGTACCCCGGCCTGGGCAGCACCGCGGGGCTAACCCCGAACAGGATTGGCGGTGCCCTGGGAAGGCTGTTGTCACTGCTACGTTAAGCAGGCAGCGGCAGGGTAAGCACCGCACACATATCCCGCGACGTGCCAAACGGCATGGTGCACACAGATGTGCGGGGGGGGGAGGGACGTCCCGGTCAAACAATCGCCAGTGTCGCGGGCGACGAAAAACTTCAAATCCACGGAAATGTGACGCCAGAAAAAGGCGTGTGGAGCACGTTGTTGCTGTTTTCAGTATTATGTCTTCTCTTCTAGCAGACTTGAAGCTGCTGTTGTAATCGGTTTGTATGTCGGCGCGTGTATCGGCGGGTTCAATGTGATGATATGGATGTAAGGTAGAAAGCCGTGGTAACCTGCCCGTTGTACATAGCTTTCGAGGTAAATTTTTCCTTTGGAAAATTACGGAGGGGGGGGTGCGACCCACGCGGCGGTGTACTAGGCGCGGCAAAACCATCTGCCCCCCCCCCAACCCCACCCCCTCGGAGTAGAGATCGCCAAAGACTGCTCGTGGAATGCACACTTGTCCAAGGTAGCGGAAAAGGGCAAAGCACGAGCACGGAAGCTGCACCCAATACTCGCAAACCGGCACCTCAATACACGCATCAAATTGACGGTTTTGAAGAGCGTAATCGTACCGCCGTTAGAATACCCCGGAGAAGTATGGGAAGGAAATATGAAGGTAGTGAAAGAACTCGAGGCGGCGCAGATGGAAGCAGCGAAAATCATCCTACGATGCTCCAAGCGCACAAGTAATGCAGCCGTCAGGGCAGAATTGGGGATCCAATCCCTACGGTCGCGAAGAGACGCGAGAAAGCTGACATGGCAGTATCGCATGTGCGGGATGGGAGAGGAGAGGTTGCCGAGGATTGTATGGGAGGCGANGGATAAGGAGGGTCTAGAAGTGTACGGAATGTTGAAGGAAGGAATAGGGCCCAAGGATTACCTAAATGGGCCAATGGATGCAGGAACAAAGCTTAAGGTCAAATTCAGGACCGGGGACATAGGCCTTCGAGAATGTCGACGAAGACATAGGACGGTAGACAACGAAGACGACGAGTTCAAATGTGATTGCGGCTTCGAATGCGAAGACCGTGTTCATGTAGTCGCGGAATGTCCGTTGTACAAGAAGGAGAGGGAAGTGTACGTGACTGAGCTGGGAAAAATAGATGGAACGTACAGGGAGATGTTTGAGGCATGGAATAGAGAGGAAAGGACGGTAGCTGTACTGGGGCATAGGAGGTGGGTTGAAAAGGCGGGAAGGGATATCGTTAGGATAGACAGACTAGGGAAGACATTTTTGAGCCACCTTTGGCAAAGTAGAAAGGAACGATTGGCCATCCGTGATCGGTCCTGTGGGAACAATGCTCCGTCCTCTCGAGCACGCGTGGTCAATGATCTAACCGCGAAGGCATGCAAAACAGAAGAGTACGTCCCCTCCCTACCCAACCTTCCCCCTCTGTGCGAAGCATCATCCATCGACCCTTACTCTGCATGCATGTGGTAAGACAGTTCTGGCCACGGCCTCCCTTTGAATGGCTTGTCTTGTTCTTGGTAAGCAGCGCTACCGCGTCGGTTCATGTACAAGATAGACAACTCGGTCAAAACAACCAAGCTGGAGATATCAAGGTGGAGAAAGGAAAGGGCGGGTACATGGACGATCGCCACTCGAGCCAAACGGACTGTTTTTCTTCATGGCACGCTCGACGGAAATCTAACATTTCACAGCGAAAACCGTACCTACACCTAGAATTTACCGTACACCGACGCGCCCACGATCTTGGGTCTACGTATCGGCGATAACCCGCAATGTGTACGAACAGGAAAGGTGGCGGCCATCGCAAAATCACGAGCCAGGTGGGCGTGCGGGGGTTGGGTGCCCGCTCGTCCGTTCACTCACGCCGGCGAAGAAATGTCTGGCAGTCCTCGACCTTGCCGCCATCGTCGATATCGGGGCAGAAAGAGGGGCAACATCCACAGCTCCAGGTCCGCCCTCGTGATCTTGGATTCGACCAACCACGTCAAAGCGAATGTCGAGCACAACAGCGGTAGTGGCGCCCGTCCGACAGAGGAGGGGCAGTTCATAAAGGAGGGAGTTTACACACGAAGAGAGAAAAGTGCGTAAGGCATGCTGCTGATCGAGACTGCAGTGTTGGTACTGGTGCACCAAGCTTATCGCAATCACGTGGGGCAAGAGTTACAATATACCTCGTTGCCGTTGCTGGTATCGCCATCGCCATCTCCCACTCTGCCATCGATCCTCTCCAATAGAGCTCGAGGAAGAACACGACCGAGCGCCACCCCACCGCCGCTACTATCGTTGTCGAGGAAAACACGGCAAGGACGGTAGATCGAAACGCAAACTAAGCGCGGCGCGAGCAACGCCATGTGGAGGGGGCAGATGCGGCTCTGAACACTCATAGCCGTACCACAGCAGTGCAGCCTTGGTGCAGAACTGGTTCGTGGCAGCTAGTTTCACATAACGGTACAAGTGTAGATTACGTAGGGATATGCCGTACTGTTATTTACCACGCATTGCGTGTGCCGATGGGCTGACAGTCGACAAAAAATGCCGCCAGCAACGCATACTCAGAGACGGCAGAAGCAGCAGCTGCGCAGCCATCAACCGTAATACATACGCAGAAGGTTCATTCTACTTTATGGCACAACCGTATGACACATACCTCGGTGCAACGCCTGGTGATGCGCACACGCACGGGATGCCCAAGGCGTCGGCCAAATGATACCCGAACGCAGAGTAAAGGTTGAAAACCAATAACTGCTCGAACCATACATGGTGAAAGCGAGGGGCGCGGGCGGGGGCGGCGGCGAGGCGGAACGGGCAGCAGGGAGCACATCTTGTTTGTAAGGCAACCAAGTGATGTAAACCACATTGGTGTTACCGCTCTTGTGGACAGGCCAGGGATGCTGCTCCACTACTCTGCTTTCTCGGGTGCAGTAGTATACCGCAGTTGCACGTTCCACAGAACACGAGTGCAGAGCGCGTGGCCGTTGCAGTTGTTGCAATGGCCCACACCCAGAGCTTGGAGACTGTGTTTCGTGTTCCACTTATGACATCCGTTTCGGTCATGCCACCGTTTCTCTGGCTCTAAGCGTTGTTGACGCTTCCAGGGGGATGGAGGGGGAGGGGGGTATCACCTCCCTGGCCGACAAAGAATCGGTCAGTCAGGGGAGGGACTAGTGCGGTGTCAATCAAACGGGGTAGTTGAAGGAGCGCTCTTCATCACTCTCCTCTCTGCAACACGCGACAATAGCACGCTCTCTTTTCTGCCACCCGCCAGGGCAGCGGCTACCGCCGCCGCCGCCGCCGCACATTCGGTTTGAGGTCCTTCAAAACGCTCATGCACGCGTCCAGCTCTTCGCGAACGGCGCCTTCTTCATCTCCCACGTCTGCTGCTGCTACTGCAAGGTCATTGTCTCTGGCAGTGCGCTGGCCTCTTGTGGCACCGTTCGCATTCACCCGTTGCTGCGCCTCACTTGTTTCCCCTAGTTGTCCCGCAGAGGCTGAGGCATCCTCACCATCATCATTGTTCGAGACACCAAAGAGAACAGGCACGTCGACAGGACACAGCCTCGGCGGCGGCTGGCTCACGTCAAAGGTGCCCTCCATGAGGCCTGGTTTCGGTTCATGCAGCGCGCAGGGGATTGGTCGTTTGGGCGGTGAGTTCTGGGTGTCTCCATCACCGAAACATTTCGTGAAGTCTCTTGAGGCTGCTTGCGCGGCCGAGTTATTTCACCGGAGAGGACGCCGAAGCGGTATCCTTGACTGTTGAAACCTTCTAAAGAACCTGTGTTGTGTGAGCGTCCTCTCTGTAACAAGGTGCCGACGCCAGGCCGACGCCAGAATGCGCCGAGAGTGCGCAAAATGCCCACCTCCCAGCAGGTCGCAGTGGCATCGATGAGTGACGACGCATACGGCGCTGCTGCTTGCGTTGCTTCGTTTCCTTCGGCGTTTGAAATCCCGATCATCACCACTGCTGTGGGCACAACGATGAGCGCCGTCCACCATGTCAGCGTCCACCTGTGACTGCTGTAATGCGCCTTCATCCTCATGAACACCTTGTTCGTCTTGCCGCCGGGAGCGGTCCGAGTCTACTTCTAAGGATCCAAGCGATGATGCCAGGGCACAGAGCGGCAAACAATCACCGATGGAACCAAGAGCGAGAAACACCACCTCCACGTTAGGATCGGCGGTATCGGCCTTCTGGAGGTCTAAGGTCTTGTCTCGCGTGGCCATGCTAGGGTGTAAGCACACAGAAGCATGCAGCGGGATCAGCCACAGCAGCTCGCACGCTAGCTGGCAAGCACGCAGCACGCACCACACAGCAACAGCAGATATGCGGCGAGTTTTCACACTGTTGGCCGTTGGCAATGGTATATACCATTGGCCGTTGGCGTTGGTTCTCCGGGGGGTCACGCCAACAGCAGCCTTCCCGCTTATACCCCGTCACCCCACGAGGCTCCGTCGCAGCACTCGCCGCGTCGTGGGGCGCGACCCTAGCATGGCCACGCGAGACAAGACCGATTCCGCTCTACCCTCGAGGGCAGATTCCCGGGCGCCCCCGCGTCGTCGCTCATTATACTGCGCGTGCAAGTGTGTTGCCGGCTCCTTATTATCGCTGCTGGTGCGCTTCGAGTCGGAATTCTTCATCAAAGAGGTGCTCTGTAATTAATCAAAGCTGTTGGTGCGCCCCTACGCGGTATTTTTCATTACGAAGGCGCTGGAAGGAAACAAGCAAAGTAGTGATAGTGTTGGGGGGGTTGAGTGGACAGACAGTCGACCCCGCTTTAACCCCCTTACCACGCACAGAAAATTCGGCGCTCTTGCGAAATTTCTGAAATGTAAGAAAAAGCGCGAACGACGCCTGCTGATTGGATGGTCCAGACAGTTCCATCGCTGGGAGTGCAAAGCTGCCTTCCCACTTGAGCCGTCTCTCAACAATCCCTATCAAATGTCCCCTCGATCGAGGGGAGACATTTGATAGAGATGATATACAGCAACTGGCGGGAGCTTGGTAAACGGGGCACGGAAAGGAGGTTTTCAAGATATTTCTCTAGAGGGAAAGCGAGACCTTCTAACCCAAGCCCTAGGTTGCCCGGTGCCTCCTTTCAACGGTGGGCTAGGTACTTCTTCCGCGCTTGCCCCTAGTAGTAGCGCTTTCCACCCAAGGGTAGACAGACGCGGCGCAACTTCGCTGTTGAACCCGCGGCGTATTCGCCCCTCGATTCGACAAGGATTCGACCTGTTCATTACCCTCATACTCCTCCACTCTACAAAGCATCCATACCAAACTAGAGTCGTCCCCGTGTACCCTGGCACCCCCCTGGTCGAGTAGTTCAAAGGAGGAGACAATCGTGCCATTCTTCGCGAGGTAAAGCAGGTAGGTGAAGAAGATGGGGACAAAAGGTGTCCCCAAAAGGCGATCATCTAGCCCTAAAGGGGTTGTTAAAGCGGGGTTCGGTTGCGTCCTTAAAATTCAGGGGACGATAGCTCACCATCCCCGGGGCCAATGGCGGAGGCATGCTATACCTCAAACTACGCGTCTTTTGCTAGGTAAAGAAGGGGGTGGTACGAAAAGTCAGCATCGATCGCCGAGAGACGACTGGCTACTGTTTGTTGACGTCGATCGAGCATATGTATTTACAATAAATACATTGAAATGACATGTATTATGTACAGCAGTCAGGGACGTGTTGAAAAAAACTACTACATAGTACACCAGTTTGTTGGCTGACTAATAAAGTACTGCATAGCTGGCAGCGGAAGAAGGAGGAAAGTCCAAGTAGACATATGTTTATCGCATCATTTTTGTGAAGAAACAAAAAAACGAGCGTATAATTATTTCATAAGCGTCGCGCCGAGGAACACCAACAACCAGTAGTTAGTCTACATATAAATTATCACTTTCCCGGCGGAGACAAAAAGACGCTACCCTGATGTTGTTGTTGTTGTTGTTGTTGTTTCTCACATTTGCTCTAAAAAAAAAAGTTTGGGAGCCCGTGGTCTCAAAACCCAGCATACACGACCCCACGAAGAAACAGAAAAAAATAGGGTACAAAAACCACTCGGAAGAGAAACAAAATGATAGAAAGAAAGACCAGCTACCGCACCAAACGAGAAAGAGCGTCGAGGAGACCGATCAAAATAAAATAAAAGGAGAACGGGGAACGCTTCCCACACCCGCCTACAACGCCGGAGGGTTCCGTGCCGGGTTCCCGCCGACCAGGCATCCCCCGCCCTG